TTCAACCTGCTGTAATAATAAGCCATATTATATTATATTATTTACTACATTATGCCGGATGGCTGACATCGTTAGTCTCTGTAATAAGTCTCGATAAAACGCAATGACGATGAGTCAATGCACTTACTACGTATGTACCTGTATAAATATATATATATATACTTATATATATGTTTATACAATTTTAATGCTCTAGGTATTGCACGTTCTATTTCTTGTTATTATTATTATTATTATTTATATTTGGAATACTACGCAGGGTGCTGTTATATAATGTACAATATAACAAACATATATATATATATATATATACCACTGTTCACGCCTCTTTAAGCGCATTTCCTTTAAAAAAATTCAATTATTATTTATAAAATATTTTATGACCCAATTTCCTCCCCGCGCATGATACGCATTAAATAATATAACAAAATGCAGTGAGTGCATATATAATATTGTATTCGAATTCATAAACATTATATAATATGTATAACTAAAGTGAAATACGGTTGAGTGAGTTTTTAAATTTCTCGCGCTTGTGATGTCTTAAATTTACAAGGGAAAAAGCTGTGCTACAGCAGCAGCTGAAATCGCTCTACTTCTTGGCGCTACACAGTAGCTGAAAACATCAAAGGGTTAGGTCGTTATTTTTGGTGTTCTCGGAAAGGATCCGCTCCGTCGAGTTTTATAATAATAATTTGTCTCGACGACGTGTAAACGACATTTTTCGGATGTTTGGAATGTTCGGGGACGACGACAACGACGACGTTTATTATTATTAATATGATATATTATTGTATCGAATTTTCTCGTTCGGAAATACGTAGGTAGGCAAGGTGTACGCGTTTCCGATATTATATATTTTTCTCTAACACGTGTAAATTATTACGGTATATTATTATAATAGTAGTGTGACACATAACCACAAGAATATTGTTATTACCGTGACGGAAGACGACGACAAAATAACAAGTGCGTTATACGGAACGATGACGGCCATGTCGTCTCGCGTGTGGTAGTCGTTGTGCAGCTGTTGTTACATTGCATATGAATTATGAATATAATAATATTTAGATGATATAGTACAATGTGCACATTTTTTTTATTATTATTACTGTGATCATAATTGAGAAATACAACCGTGTATGAATGAGATTTTTTTTTAATATTATCAATGTAATATCCGGCCAACGCTATAGCTGATTCTGTTCGTTTCCGTTTTGTTTAAAAACTTATATCCACTTTGCACATAGAMGGTCTGATGATACAAAAATAAAATCCAATTATATTATATTATTGCCATGCCATAATATAAATATTATAAAATATGTTAAATATAGCTATATGAGTTTATGCGCTTGTCAGAAAAACAATATTATAATATTATATATTAATTGGTTCATTAACATAATATTTTGACGTGTTTAAAATTAATATCGAGCATTACCTGCTTATAATAATATCTGGGTGATCTTAAATTGTACGTGAGCTAGTAGTAATAATATATAATATTATATTATACTAATAATATGAATTGTATGCAATCGCCTATAATTTTGATCCCCGCCATGAAAAAGGTTGGTCAGTACTTTTCACGTTCGCGTTTTTTTTTTCTTCAAATTGGTGTGACTGTTTTTATGAATTTCTGACGAAGACAACACGGTAACTGCATCTTATCGTATATAACGTCTTTGGTTTATTTATGCACCAATCAGTTTCGTTGGAAATTCGGAAAAACAGTTTTAACAATTACCTTCGGCATTGKCAGTAGTTGCAATAAATTATTAACCGGACAATGACGAACGAAATCGTTACAATTTACACCTACGCATATTTTAGGTATAAAAATAAATTGATAATGTTTTAAACAAATGAATCAGCAATTTGTTTTTAATATTCACGTACTATATTAACGCATTCGACACTGAAACTTTCAGACAATATAATACGGAAATACAATTAACAATGAAACGTTTAGATTAGAAAATCAATACATATGAGGTAAATAATATATAATTTATGCTAAAAATATCCGATGCAATTATCTATATTTAACAGCAATTTTGGCATTTCTTCTTGGCACGTTAAGAATAATATTGCGCAACTACTTGTTTTTCACATTCGTAAAATTGTTATTTTAATCAGACTGAAGCGCGATGTATTTCGTTTTTATTTGGCTTAAAAAACACGTTCGTGATTATAGTTAATATATGAAATGTTATTTGATCAGAGATTGTACTGATATTATTACTGTCTAACTAATTACAACAACTGACTAGGTTAAAATTATCATTTTTTTTTTATTATTATTATTACTATTTAGAACTGCAATAAATTACTGTATGGCTGTATTTATAGGTAGGTATATAATATAATACCTACGTGTATTACGTCTTAACATCATTATAGTGTTCCGCTGGGGTTTTCGGACATTTGCTATCAGCTGAAAGATTGTCCAGTTTTTTGTTTTTATATAGTTACTAGTTTCCTATTTGCCCGGTGATTGACGACCTGTAGGCCTTGGTCGATTAATCTTGCTAGACCCAACTGCARTCTCCCATGAGGCTTACAGAGTTTGTGGATCTATATAGTTAGGCGACGAGAAGACTGAATCGTAGGTTTTTAGTGACTTTTTATATAGCTTATAATATGTGTTCTATATTACAAATAAATGTGGGTATGTTGTTCGGTAGGTACAGAAAACTTAACTCGAGAGACTGCATGCAGACTGCAGTTAGTACAATATATTTTCTGGATTGAACTTAGTACTCAAAAAAAAAGTTAACGTCTATGAAGATAATTAATTTTTAATTATTTATCAAGGCAATGTCTTTTCATATTTTTCAATTCGTCGTCTTCGGTTGTACGATATAAATTCGTAACAAGTGTTCTCGACAAAATGTTGATCAAGTTTTAATGTATCACGGGACATTTTTTTCTTGGCTTCCACTAATAAGCTTGTCGCTGTCACTTTCGACGTAATTGATGGAGTCCAACATTTCACTACTGCTGTATGCCTTCCTCGCGTCGACTCCATTTTTCAGTTCTCGTACAAAGCAATCGTTTGTCTGCGTTTCAATTCGTCCAATTATTGCGGCCAAAACTTCCGTTTTTTTTCTCTTATTCCGCAATTTTACATCGCATACCTTTTTCTTATACACTATTTTCGCCTACGTAGTTTCCGTATCGTCCCACCACGTAATATAAAACAAAAACACACAGATGTATGAAGATTTATCAACGATGGGTTTAATAAGACTGATTGCAGCTTTTGTCACAGGTACGTCTATACTCTATTGCTCTTTTGGGAGGACCATATATGGACACGCGTGTATACAATATACATATTGATGTGCACAACTCATCTCTCACGGTAAACCATCAGACGTCAATCACCGACGACATTTATTAACACACTTATTCAATGTATTCGATTAATAAATTAATGTGTTTTTATTACATGACGAGTTTTGACTAAATATGTATATATTTTTTAACTTTCTATACAGATCTCAACAATTTTCCTACCATTCAATTAATAATAATTGTTCAAACAGAATGTAGTTAATTATTTTTTTAATTCTCTTGCAATTTTAATGCATAAAAAAAATAACTAAAAATAATTAGTTACCTGAATTTTTCATACAACCACTTTAAATATATATATATTATGTAATTATATAACTAACTTCTTATAATATCGTGTATTTAAATTAAGGTCTGCAGTTAATAACTACAGTATGTCAGCTAGTATGACATTTGCTACTACTAGATATTTTATATTCTTTTAAAAAGTGGTGCAGCGTTATATTTAGGATTTTATTTTTTAATTCAATAGTGTTGTTATACGTGTATTGAATCGTCGCGAGAGGCACTTCTTTGACATACTAGCTTTGTTGTCGTTTCTCGTTTACTTCGACAACAATAATGTCCCCTTTTTACAAATTCGATGGATACTACGGTTCATTGGATATAGCCCTAAGTCATTCCTCTCAAAATCGCACAACAATGTATTTGTATTTGCTTCAATACTTTCTTCCCTTCATATAGGTACTCACTAGCGATAAAACTTTCGGTGTCACCTGGATTTTTTTTATATTTATCAAACAAATTTTTTATCAGTCAAGAACGGTAATGATAGTAGACACTATATTATTATAATAAGTTATTATTGTTATTATTAATAACATCATGTTACTAAATTCAGTTTTAATGGAACCAGTTATAAGTATTTCAAACTATATATTATAATCAATAATATTATTGTCAATCATAAGGTAGGTAATAATATTAAAACATAATTGATCAGATAATATTAAAACAACATATATACACTATATACAGTCTATATTATTTTTGTATAGAATTTCAAGTGGTTAGCATATTATTATTTTCTTATACAACTATTTAAGACATTTGGGTTATTACATTATTTTTAATTTTATATACATTTATTTTACTTTTAATTAAATTGTTTTTATCCAATCAATGGTTCAAAGTTTTAATACCTACCTTATAGTTTATTGACAATTTACCGTGTGAAAATTTTACTTGACATTATGAATTAGTTGAAGTATATGATAAAATCAACATAAACTGTTTTATAGTTTATGTAGCATGCGGTCTAAAATTAATGAATATATGTAAAATAATTATTGAGGATTTTTTTATAAATGTGAACTTCCTTTTTATTATTTGATTACAAATATATGGTTGTGATAATAGTAGTATTACTATCATACATTTTACAAATATACATTACTTGTAACTATTTATATACCACTTCTTATACTTCGTCCTTGATCAATGATAATTTAAGTAGTGACATATTATATATTATTATACTTAACTTTTTTTTGTATTATAATATATTCATATTATTATGCTGCGAATATTCATTATCATAATTATATAATATATTATTTTATAATTAATAGTTTTAGTAGCATCACAAATTTTCCTAAAAAAATGATTTTCGAATAATTGATTGATTTGTTTTATAGGAGTATATGGAAGCAAAAATCGTGCAACTAGAATCTGAATTGGTCGCGGAACGGCGAATTACGCAGAGGGAGAGGACGCTAAACTCCAAGCTTCAAAAACAATTAGCTCGGGTGAGTACAACAAATAATAATATCAGTAATAGTTCGTCTCCGATTTTGCAAAACGTGTACAATATTCTTTATACCGAGGGACGTGGTCAGTTAGGCAAATGAGGGTCACCCCCGCGTTGGCATGGTGACCAACTGGATAACAATCCGTGCAGTCTTTTGTATGTGCTCTCCGTGAACGGACGGGCGATATTGAATTCTCTGGCAAACGACGGACCCCCCTCCCTCAAAGACGTTTCTCCTCATTCCCATGGTTAGTACATGATATAGGTACTTATATATTAAATGGGTAAAAAAAGGGGGTTGAATTATTAGACTTGATACGTTATTATTATGGGTTATGTCAAGACGACTTATGATTTAAAACAAGACTTTTGTCCTTGCGCGATGTTAGTGTAGAAGTGTATTATAGCACCTATAACGAAATCTGTTTATATTTTACTGGAGATCGGAGAGAATTTTCACGTTTGAATATTTTAGTATATAAATCAGTACTTATGTACCTATATATATACACATGTATGTATAAATGAATATATTAAAATTTACATTATCTATATACATTATTTATAAGTAAATATAATATACATATTATATAGGCAAAGTGATTCAAAAGCCGATGCCTATCGTAGCTATTTTATTTTATTTTTGCAAAATGATTTTTTATTATCCTCGAGTTCTTTTTTTGTAAACCATGCACATGTTATATTAAAGGTACTCATAGATTGAAGTGCAATATATGTACATTTTTTAGATTCTAAGCGATGAATGTATTGATTTTACCATGATGTGTGTTTTTTTTTTTTTGTGTCTGTCATCACGTTTTGGGGCAGTAAAAGTGCTTCGATTTTTGACTTCAGTACCTCGTTCGATCAGAAAGTGAATCTAGTTGGTACTTTGGGGGGTCAAAAGTAAAAAATTCTTAATACTTTTCTAAATAATCGAAAAAAACAAACTAAAAATTAAGGGAAAAACGGCAAATTTTACGCACACTCATTTTTCGACAAAATCGATTTTGGTATTTGATGTAATTTTAAAACAAAGTTTTTCTTTTTAATTCTAAGATTTGAAAATTTAATACAAAGCTTATAATATATTTTTACAATAGCGATTGAAAAATAAAAGGAATACATAGTCACAATTTTTTTTTTTTAAGAATTCAAAGTTTGAGTTTTGACAACATATTATGTAAAAATCACGAAAAT